TTTTAAGATGCAATAAATTGAAATTATACGATATCAAGAAATAAGAAGTAATAGAATAATAATTATTTAAAAAATATGTTTTTTTTATAGTTCTCCTTTAGGTCCATTTATAGATTATGTGTATTGAAGATTGGAATATACATTTAAAACTAAAAATATATGAAAAGTCAACTTATGTGATGATTTACAATATTTGCGATAATAATTTGATTCATGTATGAATCTTTATACTTTTTTTATTAAACAAATGTTCATGTATGTAAAAAGAGATATACGTAACCGTTATAATAATTATGACAGTCATCTCGTTTCAACGATTAAATGACGCGTCGTTGATTTATATGAAGATAGAGATAGAGAGAAAGAAAGAAAGAAAAAGAAGAGACAGAGAAATATTCCGCATATAACGACATTTACCTCAGGTCGCGTAAATTGGCGGGATAATATATGTCCAAGGCACACAGGAGGCGAACGGTAAAGGGTTATCGTGGAAGCAACGCAAGCGAAATTACAATGCCGCGCATTCGGTAAGCCGACGAGCTTTCGTAATAAAACACGCGCGAAAGGAGCTGTTTTACATTTGCGTTTTAATTAAAAGTGCACCGTGCTTTTTGTCGATTCACGCACACGCACAAACGAAGTTACACGACTTTACGCGAGACTGTTCGTTCGATCGGTCGTTATATTCTGCATTACTTTATTTGATAATTAAACAGTTCGGGGCCTTCTATTTATTTATTGAAATATTCATGTGCCGTGTGTCAAAAATTTCAAAATATATGGAAATTCTTACGTCATTTTTAAACGTTGAATTTACGGATTTGTGAAATTAGTACATTTTATTAATATAAAAAAGTAATGACAGTTTCAATAGCACTTTTCATATTTCTACTGTAGTTTCTTATACAAAAAGCGTCCCGCATTTTTTATAATAAAATATCAAAATTGAAAAAAGTAGGGACTCTGTATAAATACAATTTTAGAGCATAGAACTCTGCTAGAATTACAGAGAAATATCGTTGGAATTGCAATAAATTTTCAAAACGATACTTTTTCTTCAAGTGTCGTGTTGTCTTCTGTATTTAAGGTGTATTAAAGTTAGTAATTGTTGAAATTTTTTGTTTTTAAATTCTCTTTATTGACACAACTCAAATAGTACTAACGAGATCTGTAGTGAAAGTGAAAATATTTATCTTTTTTTTTGTACTTTAGAAGAGAAGAGTCGTCTTAGATTCTTGAAATTACGCCATATATTAAGTATCTGTTATGGTTTTTTATTACGGAAAATACTTTCAAAGATAAAAGAGTTTCTTTCCTTTGAAAGGTACTTTAAAACTGTGAAAAGTGCTATCAGAATTTACATTATTTTTTTTTACATGATGAATGTCGTGCTAACTTTATAGATTTTTTAATTACTCAGTTGATTGCTGCACCGATGATGAATTTAATTTTATTTATTTTTATGGTTAAGGTTAAATCTCACATGCTACATAATTAGAATATCATCAATATGCATTCCTGGATGCACTAAAGAAATTTTAATAATAAATTTTAATAATAAATCGACCTCTATTTAATAAAAATTTGATAGAAACTTTTATTACAATTTTATAGTTTTTATTATATAATAGAATATACAAAAAAATACATTTTTA